TGAGCAAGGAACGAAAGATCGAGACCATCTTAAAATTGCTTCGTGTATTCACTCACTCGCTCTTATAACTCGTGTATATTGTTCGGTTCGATCGATGCAGAATCGCAACGCGTACGATTGATTGAACATGCAGTACATGCAAACATTACATGCACGTCCAGTTTTAATATGCGCGCACTTGTACATTCTTAATACGCACACTCTCAATATGTCTTTTTTTGTAGCACACATTTTTCTTCCCAAGATAATTTACAGCATTGCGTATGCATTTTATGGTCGCAGTCGCGCATATTTTAACAGGAATATTTTCATGCATGCAAGATGCATGTATCCTACATATATGGAAATAATATATCTTTCAATGAGTGTCTCTACATATTATATATAATGATTTCCCAGATGTAAAAAATGTATATGGAAAGTGAGGAAAGAATGAATAAAAATATCAACACTATAATGTTGTTTCGATTGGATCGTTAGATTGACAGACAGATGAATAGATAAAGCACTAGACACAGAGATAGAAAAGAGAGGAATTGGACGATTGGTGTTGAACTTGAAGAATATAAACAAGCATATTGATTGTTTTCCAGTTCTCATCCAATTCTGTCACTGCGATATCAATCTGTTGATGTAATAAGGAATTTTGATATCGGAGAATTTTTAGGTACAAGAATTTTCCGATATTAAAATCTTATGATGCCAGCAAAATTTGCAATACGAGAAAGATAAGCCTTAGATGGTTAAAAAGACTTATAATAATAGCAATCATAAAGTGTAATTAGTAAAGAAAGAAATCCATTTTTCTTTCCGGTATTACCTGGAACAAAAAATTTTCCACACTCTTTCATCTTTGGTTGATCGTTTTCTTTTCGTTGTTGATATTATTTTCATCTTATTTGTGGTAAAATTACAACAGTTTTTTTCTCTTCAAACATCAAAAATCACCTATGACTAATCATTCACCTATGCATATACACACAGCCATAACCAATAAAATTTCATTTAGTATTAGAATGAGCTGTACAAATTTTAATTTAATAAATGTATTATTGAATTGACGATAATGTCACTGATAATTTAAACTGTTAAGAATTCAAAAAAAAAAAAAAATGTTAAACGATTGATATGATAAATACGTTGAATGTTTCGATGACATGCCAAATCAAACGATTGATATGATAATATGTCGAATATCATTCACATGTTAAACGATTGTATATAACATGTTAGACGATTAATATGATAATACGTTGAATATCATTCATTAAAATTTTTCGATGACATATTAAAACGATTGATATGGTATGTCAAACGATTGATATGATAATACGTTGAATATCATTCATTGATAATACGTTGAATTCATTAAAGTTTTCCGATGGATTAAAAAGAAAGAATTGTTATTATTTGTAATGGTAAAATTGTTGTAATTCAATGCTTCGTCTTTTTTTTTTTTCAAATTTAATTTAATCAAAAATTTGCTTTTTGAAACTTTCAAAAATTGTTAACAATCAAAGTTGGGAGCAGCTGCCTTTTCGTTTATTAACATTATTGACAAATTACATATGTCAATTGTGATGTGTGAGAGAATGCAACAAAATGGTACGAAATATAAATAATATTTTAAAATATTTTAGAAAACAAATTACTGAATTTCGCATTGTTTTTCTTCATCTCTTACTTTTCCGAAATATTGCAAATATTCGTCATTTGTATTTGAAAATTTTAACAGAAATTCAAATCAATATTCAAGTCATCTCCATTTTATATGTATGTGAACATACGTGTGTGTGTGTGTGTGTGTGTGTGTGTGTGTGTGTGTGTGTGTGTGTGTGTGTGTGTGTGTATATATATATATATATATATATATATATGTTTAGCGATTATGTTTGACGTTTTGAAAATGATAAATATTCCCGGTAAGTGCAGAAAAAAAGGACGAAAAAATCGCTGTTATCAGTATGCCTCAACGGAATTATAGTGGACCAAAGATTATTAATGGACAACATGACATCATATCGTGATGAAAAATCAGTGATATTGTGTGTATGTGTGTGTGTGTGTGTGTATGTGTGTGTGTGTGTGTGTGTGTGTGTGTGTGTGTGTGTGTGTGTGTACCATTAAGCTATCGCCTTGCATCAAAAAAAAGGCATATATAATTAGTAAGTAATTAGAAATCAAATTTATAAACGAAATGAATGCAATTTCGAAGCAGCTTAATCGAAAAACTTCACCCAATCATCTCCTTATCAGTAATGATAAAGAGATGATTGGGTGAAGGATTGAATATACCGAAAGTATTAAAGATAGATAAATGTTAGTATGAAAGGATGAATGAAATGATTTGAATTGTAACAAACTTTCTTCGCCTAATTTTAAAATATAACATTTTAATTAAAGGTACTTTAATTAAAGGTACGAACAAAATTTTCTCCAATAATTCACAGCAAAACATCGAAACGATGTTTATGTGATAAAATGCTATTTAATATTTGATGAATTTTGATTGATCATAGTAATTACAATTCTGATCTGAGCAAACACGGAGAGAAATAAAATGAAAGAATAACGAGGATAAGATTAGGATATAGTAATGCTTATAAAGAGATGAAGATTATTCCGCTTCGTTATGCTCTGTTCTCTACAAGATGAAGTGAGTTCATTCTATACCAATAAATGTTCGCAAACAAGAGAGAGATGGAAAATACTGGAGAAAGGTGTAGAAAGAAGCAATACCAAGGTATTAGTATGATGCCAAATACACCGATAGCACTCAATAATAAGATAGGGTAAGATTGCAAATTAGTCATTTTCATAACATTCCGACATTCGTATACCCGTGGTAAAAGTGCAAAGTATTGATGATATCATTGGATAATTCAGCAATATGGAAAGGACTTATCGACGAAAGAAGGAAGGAGAAATAGAGAGAGAGTGAAATCAAATTTGCCAAAAATAAAAATGAGAAATAATTTAGGAAAACACTCATTAAGGAGAGCAGATTTATTACGGTAAAAATTCATTCTCAAATTGTCCAAACAGTTTGTTATTTCCATTCACTCTTAAATAATAGAAACCTCGGATTGATTGGGGTAATTAGAAAATTTATGAAGGAAAATCATTTCCAATTTAAAGGAAGAATTTATAAGTGATAAGAAAAGTGGTCGGACCGATAGAAATATTCTTTTCATTCCATTACTTTTGTCATACAGGTACTGTATTCTCAAACGCTTTATGTATTTTGTTAATCTGATATGTCTTATCACTCTACTGCTTAATATGAAATTAATTTATTAACACTCTGCTATTTCACGTTTTGTGTCAGAAATTCCCTATCATTATTGTATAGGAGGGTCTCCTTGATTGTGTAGCGGTAGGTCCAGTTATCACGTCACGTGTTCGCATTTCTTCAAAGGAATTTAAGCCCCCGTTATTCATAGCATGAAATGGCATCTGCTATATCTATGCGTATATATCCATCGAGTACTTATTTGTATATAAATTTCATGTCGCAACAATACACAATATATTTGTAAATATAATTTAGCTTGCGACAACTTTAAAATTTAAAGATCGCAACTTTAACAAAGCAACTTTAACGGGTTAAATTTATATGGTTGATCCGATATCTTCGTCTATTTCTGAGAAATTTCCAAATAAGCTTTTTTTAATTACACAGATATTCCTAATGACACTCTGTCGGTCATTAAATATTTCTCATTAATTTTACATTTGAATTTTGTCATTTTTAATTTACATAATACTGTTATTTGAAATGAATGATATATGAATGGCGCAAAATGATTGCAAAAATCAGTTCCTTACTAAATGGAATAAAACGCTGCAACTGTTTGGTATTTGTTAGCTGTCAGTTGACAGCGTGTGTTTCAAAGGCTATCGAAAGTAAGAAAATGATTGAAAGAGTTGAGAAACAGGTTATTGGAAAATGAAAATTTGATTGAAGATGTGTTTATTGCGCTTCAATTCGGTGCAATCAGTATTATCATTGTCTACACTAGTGTCGGTGATGCCAGTCAGTATTGTATTATGGATAGTTTTCAATATTGGAATATCACCAGATAGTGATGCGACTCTATCCGTAATATTTTCTGATTGTTGCTTTATACTGTCAGAATGAATAAAAGTCTCTATCAAAGAATAAATTTTCACAACTATTCCACCAACCTCTCCTAAACAATTAAAAATCAACAACAGAAGGACCACTGTATTATTATTGTGATTTATCCAACCGACCACTCCTTTCTACACCATTCAACAAGAAAAAAACGGAAAGATAAGAGAAAGATAAGACAAAAGCTAAAGTAATTTTTCACTTATTAAACATTGATAAGCTATTGTCGTATTCAATGACTTCTACAGGCTTTTAAAATTTAAATTCGTTATTTGATATTATTCAATAGATTACGATGAAAGCTTATGGCGAAGGCATTCCATTAAAACTTGCATATAAACAAACCTATAAATTAATGTATAAAAGTAACAAGTTATTTTGAAAATTGCATTCATTTAGTGCATAAACTTGGTTTCTAATTACTTTCTCTAATGGCCTTAATTTTAATGATTTATATAACATTTTTTTGATGTAAGGGATAACTTAATAGTACATATATATACATATACAATATCCACACACAATATCAGTGGTTTTTTATCACGATATGATGCCATGTTCATTTTAAAATAAACCTGCAGAATATTCAGTCTTGAGATGGAGTTGACAATGTCTTCAGCGATCAGAAAAGAAATTTCAGAAAATACAAAACGACGAATGGATCCACAAAATGTTTGCCATCCATTGGTTGCGATGAATGTAGAAGATTTTAAATTGAATTGAAATTGTTGCTATTGTAGTCTGACGAATTTTTTGAAATTCTCAGGACTAATGAAGAAACAGTTTTGACATATGCTTTATTTTAAAAATTTTTTCTGCTCCGTTTTCGCTAATTCCAACTCCTTAATTGATTCCAAAAAACGTGATGGCAACTACAGAGGAAAATATGTTTGCACTTCTTTGTATTGCTGTGGTAAGTTCGATTTTTAATCTTACTTACATTTCATTTGCCTATTCGCAAAGAGAGACATTAAACTCTTTTGAAGTTCTGAGATCGCTCAGAAGCGAATCAGTTAGTCATATTTAAGCCAAGCTCCCGTAAACCAATGATTTGATAAAAAAAGAATTATCGTATGAATCAATAATACCAAGCCAACACATTGACATTCACCGGATTCTAAAACTCGTCGCAGTAATATGAAGTAATATATTATATCAATATATTCTTTCATAAACATTTATAGAGATAATGTCTGCGGCGATCAATCACTCCACCTTGACAGGATTTCATTTCACTTAATTCCATTTTTGTTACAGGTATCGTTATTCGGATTTGTCGGCAATGGCTTATCACTTTATATCACAACTACAAATTCACATTTTCAGAATGCCTATGGCACTCTCCGTACCACATTTTTGTTGTGTAATATACAAACAATATCAGTTTTATCGATTTGGAGTGCTGTTGTTCTACTAACGTAATATTTATTACACATAATTTGTCGCATTTGTTCACATAAGGTTAGCAGGAATTGCAGCTAACTGCAATTGAAACAAAGTGATTTGTCAAGATTATAATTTAATTTGATAGCTAGTGATCCCTAGATTTAATCAATTGTAATTTCAGGGATTCTCGTGAACTATCATCACCGACATATTTCATAGCCTTAATACCCGGATGCTTGGCAAATGTGTCTTTTTACGGGACAATATTGATAAATCTGCTAATTGCAGTGAATAGATATTGCGCATTTGCATATCCTCTGAACTATCACTTTTATTGGACCGTAGCGAAAGCTCGCTATGCTGGAATTATTGTCTATTTCTTCGGGTTTCTACCGTGTTTGCCTAGCATTTTTGGTGAAGTTTTCGTAAGTTCATCCAAGGGAAAATAAATTATCTTATCATTATCAGTGAAACAAAGTGATTTGTCAAGATTATAATTTAAAATTGTAAAATTTGGTTGTCGAACAGTAGGATCTTGTGTTTACAGAACCATGTACCCTTATTTTTAATGCGGAGTTGGATTTCCGTTGGAGCTATAGCAATACGAGTTGCGGTAATATAAATTCGATGTTCGATACAGTGTTCGCCAGTTCAATAATGATCATAGCGGGATGCATCGACTTCATGACGTTTTTGTGGATTAGAAGTCACCGTAAGGTTGCGATTTGCTATTATTTCATTAATTATTTGCAATAGGAGCTTACAGTTAATATTTAAATATATAATATATGAGATGTTTTTTGCTTAAAAGTATCGATGATATGTTTGGAACTGAGACGAAATAACTGTTCGTATTAAAACTATTTTAAATATCTAATGAGTTTCATATTCAATTTCATTTGAAATTTCCAACCAAACTTTTTTGAACCAAACTTTTGGTTCAACAAATTTAAGCGTAATGATTAAAATAGATTGAAACTCATTGATTAAAATAGAGTTTTCAGTTAAAAAATGTGCGAAAGCTGACGAATCGTTCTTCCAGCCGTAAGAATGACATATACTTCTTTAAACAGGCAAGTACAAAAGCATTAGAATTATTGGGTGAATAATTAAATTAAAAATACACTCGGTTGTCAACTCCAATTTATTGTAGAGCTATAAATTGTTTATTCGTTTCCAGTCATGTATCAGTGGACTAGCGGTGATTACATCTGCTTTTGTCTTTAATATTGGTCAACATTATCTGACAAATAAATGGGCTTTATTTGCTGTCACGACAATTAATTGGGTAGTAACGCATGCATTGGATGGGTGAGAAGTTTTCTACCATTTACTAAAATCTAAGAAGAGTTTGTTTTCCTTAATCTTTCGCGATAATGCAACAACTCCCAACAACTGCACTTATAGAAATGACCATACTTACAGATTTCTTTTACGCTATTTATGTTATGCTATGTTAAATTCAATCTAAATATGACTAATGTTCAGTAAATGTGCTTTGGAACTACTTAAAATTTAACGAATTCTATTTGCAGATTTGTTGTGTTGATCTTCAATCGATATTACATCGACAGTTCAGAAAATAATAGTTGTCGATAAACCGTACGAGTTGTGATCAAATGAAATCACAGAATTTCAATATTTTCGACTCCACTAGAACATTTTGCTTCGTTTAGTTACAATATGTTCAGTTACAATAGTTCCACATAAATGCTATTATAACTGCGCAATAGTCTCTTCCCCATATTGTTTAAGAGCTCCCGGGAAATTCCACAATAGCACTTTACCAAAATTCAGTTATATTGTGGAATTTTCCTGCTTTAAATGCTTGAATTTCCTTTCTTGTATTGAAGGATCGCCTTCATTTGATATCTAAATTAACTCGAAATGATTCATTCTATAATTTATTTGTTTTCCTATCTGAAATTTATTTTCTTGAAATTTTCGTACAATAGTAATGAGAGGAATTGTACAAATATCACTTTATGATCTTTAAATGTCAACATTTAATTATCGATTTATCGTTTTCTACAATTTGGAGTTTTTAAATGATATGAAATATTAGTTTGATAAAGATATCAGTTTTATTATTTTATATTTTGACAGGATAAGATAAACAAAGTGATGTCACAAAAGCGATTCGGAAGTTCAAATTATGTTGAACTTTGATTTTTGCCACAATAGTAAACATCGACTCTTCGAAAGTAATGACATAAATAAAAAGATAATTATGAAAAGGCGCTAATGACCCAATGAAATTGACTGTTGTTACACTAATGGAAAAAGTCGTGAGAATTGTTATTTGGCTGGAAGGCTGATTTTATCCTTTTCAGTAAATTCAGAATCATCGCAAAAATTTTTTAATCTGAATAAAACGAAATTGTCTATTCTGTTGTTACAATCATTCAGTACATAATTTCATCACCAAAAAACTATACAGCATTGCCTTTTAATTAATTGTATAGTTCACATTGGAAAGTCTCATTGTTTTAGGGAAATTTAGAATTTAGTATAAAATTTGAAATTACTTGCTCTACCAATTGCTAACGTTACATACTTCTTACATTTCCTTAGGTAGACAGATATAAAAATGTTAAAGTGAATGAGTGAGCTAAGTAAAAATTGTGAATAATATTACAACGACTGTCGGCGCACAAAACGAAACAAATCATAAACGGTTCAACAAGTCATGAGCGGTTCAATAAGTCATAAAGGGTTTCACAAGTTATAGACGATTTGATTTAATGTTGGATTTCATTCAGTCATAATTGACAGAATAAAATGATAAATGATTGGAATGGTTTTTTGAGCTCAATTAAATATTTTCGCAGCTTCATCAACAGGAATGCGGGAAAAGAAGCACTAATTTGAAACAGATTTCAATCAATTTAAAATCGGAAATTTAAAAAGAATCAAAATAGAAGAATGTGAAGCAGAAAAGAATATACGAATCTAAAATACATATATAAAGAATATAAATACTGGGAATATTGCACATTGCAGGAAATAAATATCCCGAAATAGCTAAATAATTCGGTAAATCGTACTAACAATATATGAATCATGTATCGGATCGTGCAAAATTTACATAACAAACGGTCATAATACCTATTAGCCACCCTATTGATTTATTACTATCCTTTCGCACTTCTTCGACTCTAATACTACGGCATTGTTGTTTAAGAGCAAAAGAAGAGGAATAGTTACTGTATTACTGAGAGAACGCACATAAAAATAAGGGAAATGAAGAGAAGAGAAGAGGAAGTTGGTATAATATAATTGGCTTAGGAGAAAGGAGAGAATGAGAAGGATGGTAAGTACATGATAAGTAGGATAGGGTGACGATTATTGTTGCAAGAGAGTAGTAAACAAATGATATTGCATTATTGCGGTTATATTGCTATTGTAGAAAGGGTATTGGTAGAATATGGTAGTCTTATTATGATTATATGTCAATGTTTGGCGTTTTTGTAAAGTTTTTCTTTTCATTCCACGTTTATTCGATCTTTACACGTATGCTTTGAAGGTCTTAATAAGGTCATAATAAGGTCCTTTAAAGATCAAGCCATACTTCATTTACATAATTTTGCAGATTAGAATTTCAAATTTTCAGATATGCATTATTTGCATCGTATTAAGAGGCTGTGATATTTCTAAATTATATAATTTAATAAAGGTGCTTAGTTCCTAAAATTTTGCCTTGTTTTGTGTTGGAGAAACTTCTGCCGTAGCTGTAATGAAGCAGCCTAAAATAAATATTGTTTAAAACAATGAGGTGATTTCAGACTAATGAACAATTCAGCAATACGATGAAGCTATTTTAAATCAATTATGATCCAATACAATTGAAGTATGCTATAATTTAGAATCACCATTGACATTATTCATTACTTGGCTCATCATGTAATTTTATTCTTTTTGGCCTTATATAATTGACAAGATTCCCTTCTTGGCAACTTTTGATCGAGTGGAGTTAAATTAATTCATTTCATTTTATCGCCAAGTTTTTCTATCCCTTCTTTTCCGATTGAGCACATTTAATTAGATTGTTAGAGATCTTCTCACTCCTGACACCAAAATAAAATTACAATACAAATTACGAATATTTGCAATTTTTCGGAAAAATAAGGGACGAAGAAAAATTGTGCGAAATTCAGTATTTTGCTTTCTAAAGCATTTTAAAATATTATTTATGTATTTAATGGCATTTTGTTGTATTCTCTCACACATCACAATTGATATAAGTAATTGTCAATTATATTAATAACGGAAAAGGAGCTGTGATATATCAATCAGATTAACAGAATACATAAAGCGTGTGAAAATATATTTACCTGTATAGCAAAAATAATGAAATGAAAAGAATATTTCTATTCATTCGACCACTTTTCTCATCACTTATAAATTCTTCCTTTAAATTGAAAATGATTTTCCTTTATAAATTTTCTAATTACCCCATTCAATCCGATCCGAGGTTTCTATTATTTAAGAGCGAGTGAAAATAATAAACTGTTTGGATAATTTGAGAATGAATTTTTACCGTAATAAATCTGCTCTCCTTAATGAGTGTTTTCCTTAATTGTTTCCCTTTTTTATTTTTGGCAAATTTGATTTCACTCTCTCTCTCTCTCTCTCTCTCTCTATTTCTCCTTCTCTCTTTTGTCGGATATGTTCCTTCCAATTTATTGAATATCCAATGACATCATCGAGAATACTCAATACTTTTACCACGGTTCTTGATAAGCTATAAAAATGATCAGAATTGTAATTACTATGATCAATCAAAATTCATCAAATATTAAATAGCATTTTATCACATAAACATCGTTTCGAAGTTTTGCTGTGAATTATTGGAGGAAGTTTTGTTCGTACCTTTAATTAAAGTATTTCTAATTAAAATGCTATATTATAATAATTACTATATGATAAAGCGAAGAAAGTTTGTTATAATTCAAACTATTCATCATCTCATACTAACATTTATTTATCTTTCTTTAATACTTTCTGTATTCTTCAATCCTTGACCCATTCTATATTCTTCAATCCTTGACCCATTCTCCTTATCTGATAAGTTATCGAGTAGCCAGGTAATTATACCTTTCAATTTTTCACTTATTAAACATTGATAAGAGTATTACAATTCAATAATTTTCACAGGCTTTTAAAACAGAAATTCGTTATAATCGTTATTTGATATTATTCATTTAATTAAAATGAATAGATTACGATGAAAGCTTATGACGAAGGCATTCCACTAAAACTTGCATATAAGCAAACCTATAAAAAAGTGTATACAGGTAGCAAGTTACTTTGAAAATTCCATTCATTTAGTCCATAAACTTAGTTTCTAATTACTTTCTCCAATGGCCTTAATTTTAATGACTTATATATTTTTTTTTGATGTAAGGAATAACTTAATGGTACATAAATATATATACATATGTTCACATACACATAAAATAGATGACTCGAATATCGACTTGAATTTCTGTTGAATCTTCTTTCACATACAAATTGCGAATATCTGCAATTTTTTTCGGAAAAATAAGGGACGAAGAAAAATTGTGCGAAATTCAGTAATTTGCTTTCTAAAGCATTTTAAAATATTATTTATGTATTTAATAGCATTTTGTTGTATTCTCTCACACATCACAATTGATATAAGTAATTGTCAATAATGTTAATAACGAAAAAGAAGCTGCCATATATCAATCAGATTAACAGAATACATAAAGCGTGTGAAAATATATTTACCTGTATGGAAAAAATAATAGAATGAAAAGAATATTTCTATTCATTCGACTACTTTTCTTATCACTTATAAATTCTTCCTTTAAGTTGAAAATGATTTTCCTTCATAAATTTTTCAATTTCCCTAATCACTTCGAGGTTTTTAGCAGTGTAAATTACCAAAAAAATATATAACTTAAAAATAAACATTGAAAAAAATTCAATCCCCAATGAAGAGAATTGAGATGATCGGTATCTTCAGCGATCAGAAAAGAAATATTAGAAAAGGCAAAACGATGAAAGAATCCATAAAATGTTTGTCATCTACCGGTTGTGATAAATGTGGAAGATTTAAAATTGAATTGAAATTGCTGCCATTGTAGTATGACAAATTTTTGAAATTCTAAAGAATAATAAAAAACTCGTTGAAAAAAGCAACGATTTTGACATACGTTTTATTTTAAAACATTTTTGTGTTACGTTACCTTTGAATCGTCAATACAACGTCTTAATTGATTCCGAAAAACGCCATGGCAACTGCGGAGCAAAGTACATTAGAAAATACGTTTGCACTTCTTTGTATTACTATGGTAAGTTCAGTTTTAATCCAAAACATGCCGCAGTAATATGAAGTAACATATAATGGAAAGACACTATCGTTCCAGGACTTAAAGGGCAATGTCCTGTGGAGATCAATTAATCACTCCACCATGACAAGATTTCATTTCACTTAATTCCAATTTTGTTGCAGGTATCATTGTTGGGGTTTGTCGGCAATGGCTTATCACTTCATATCATAATTTCAAATTCATACTATCAGAATGCCTTTGGCACTCTCCGTACTATAGTTTTGCTGTGTAATATACAAACAATATCGGTTTTATCGATATGGAGCGCTGTTGTCCTACTAACGTAATATTTATTACGCATAATTTGTCGCAACTGTTCGTAAAAAGTTAAAAGGAATCATAGCTCGATTCCATTAATTTGATGGCTAGTGATCCTTAAGTTTAATCGATTGCAATTTCAGGGGTTTCCGTGAATTATCATCAACGAAATATTTCATAGCCTTAATACCCGGATGTTTGGCTAATGTATCTTTTTACGGGACAATATTGACAAGTTTGTTAATTTCGCTGAATAGGTACTGCGCATTTGCATATCCTCTGAACTATCACTTTTATTGGACCATAGCGAAAGCTCGCTATGCGGGAATTATTGTCTATTTCTTTGGGTTTCTACCGTGTTTGCCTAGCATTTTTGGTAAAGTTTTC